AAAAGTAATGTTTGTAGAATAACAGACTGGTCTGTAGCACTATCTTGTGATTATTTTGGTGAGAAAGGATTTCAAATCAACATTATGTGAACATAACAAGAAGTCAAGCCCCCAAGTACAATTTTCACATAGTAGGCCTAAATGTGTATCCATTCAATAAATTTCTGAATAATACTAACCAAGAGTTATTTATTTTTATTAGAAACCCTTAATAAACCAACTTCTCTTTTTCATTAATAGCAAAGGAACCTCCTACGACACTAAGCATAGTGGATGTCCTAAAGCTTTTAAAGCTTCACCTAAACTATCCACCAAAGATACAGAATAGTATCATACTGTCTTGTTAACTCCTGCTAAATGGTTTGATGTATAAAACACATCCAACATATCTGAAGAATGAGAAGAACTGATGGTAATTTCAAAATCAACCTTCTAATTTCTAAAGGAAACACTGCTCCAGACCTGCATCTGCCAGTTATATTCTAAACTTACCACATTTAATATTATTTCAGTTACTGAAATATATCATGAAAGAAAATGTCTTTATAAATGATAACTATAGATTTATGGAAAATGCCATTGTATGTCCTAGGATATGACAGAACACATAAGAATGTAAGATAAAGTGATAAGATATTCTGTACATTAAAAAGCCAAATGTTACTGTAAAAAATATATATACAGTGGTATATAACATAAGGATGTAATTCATTCACAATTTTAGGCATTTAGTAACAATTAGCACACGCTGCTTTCATAATAAGTACTAGTGAGAACTTTATATTATTAAAAAACAGCATTGGAAACTCCATATTAAAACATTAAATAGTACTTGCCTATGTGGGCAACCTTGGCAAATCTTCTGATCAGCAAAGGAACCTCCTAGGACTTGACTTAATATAGCTGGATGTCCTAAAGCTTTTAAAGCTTCATCTAAACTATCCACTAAAGAATTAAAAAATTCTAAGGCATCATGTTGTTCACGCAGATTAACAGGTTCACCCCAAAGCCTAAGAAAAAAAGAAAATAAAACAAATACTATTTTATAACTGTAGAATATCCATACTTTATTTTTCATAACAGTAATGGACAATGACATCAGAAGTATAAGCTGAGACTTTATCCTTTCATATAAGTAGTACAAACAAACCAATACAAACCATGTGGAGGGTGGCAATGATAATGGCTGTGAAGCTCATAATTAAAATAGTACTCCAGTGTCAAAAGAATTGACTAAGATGGTGTGGCTAAGATGAGGGTGACTAAAATGGGTGGTAGGTTCTAAGAATAGTGTCTGCTTTATTAAATAATATCTGCTTTATTAAATATTACGCATTTTGAATTCAAGTAAAGAGACAATTACCCTAAGAGGAGAAGGTCATTCTTATATATTTACTACTCTGATATTTAATTCTACTTAAATTCTGGGTGTCATATTGCAAAGTTTATAGTCATTTATCCCTAACTAAAGTGTTTTTTCCAAATGAAAAAGGTTCTAATGTTATCTGAGTTTGTTCTTTTAATTTTTATATTAAGGACTGCATGTTTTATCCCTTTTTCCATCTTTTGATTTTCTAAAAAAATTAAAATTTACTTTGAGATTAATTTAGTCACAGTAATTACTAATACAGATATCCTAATTATCTTTTATGCAATTTCCCCAATGGTGATATATTATAAAAGTATTGTGCAACATCACAATCAAGATATACTGATATTGGTACAAGCTCCAATCTTACTCAGGTTATTTCTAGGCTTACTTATACTTATAACTGTGTATTTAGTTGTAGGCAAATTTATCACTTGTGTATGTATATGTCTATCATCATGGTCAAGATACAGAAGTTACCATCATATAGATCTCTTAAACAGTCCTTCTACAATCATACCCAACAACCTGCCGCTTCACTTCTAAACTCTAGTAAGCACTTATCTTTCATTCTAAAACTCTGAAATTTCAAAAATATTATATAAAGAAAATTATACAGATGTAACTTTTGGAGTTGGTTTTTTAAACTCAGTATAATACTGAGATTCACTTAATTTGTTGCATGCACAGGTAATTCCTTCCATTTTATCACATAACATAGGTATACCAATTTGTTTACTGAGGTGTTGGAGAATATCATCTTGGTTATTTCCAGTTTGTGGGTAATATAAAGAAAACTGCTATAAACATCTATGTACAAGTTTTGGTGTAAACTAAAATTTTCTTTTCTCTAGTATAAATTTTCATGGTTGCAATTACTGGATTGTTTATAGTACCACATAAACTGCCAAACTGCTTTCCAGAGTGGCTGTATTATTCATGCCACCAATACATGACACAGTTTCTCTGCATCCTAGCTAGCATTTGGTGTTGTCACTATCTTTTAAAAAATTTTAACCAATGTGATACATGTGCACTGACACTTGTGTGCTTTCATCTTTTAACTTTTAAAATTTACAGCATTAGATTTAAATTGTTTCTTGTATACTGCATAAAATTGACTTTTTTTATTTGATCTGACAATCTATGTCTTCTAACTGAGCCAATTTACATTTTATATTACTAGTGATGTAACAGAATGTAGGCATGTTATTATTTTTTGTTTGTATGTGTATCAGAATTCTGCCCTTTTCTTATTTAAATATAGGTTAGTATTCTATTTCATGCGTCTGTTAATGTATCTATTTCATGCATCTGTTAATGTATCTTTGTTTTTTAAAAATAATTGCTCTATAAATTGTAATATCTATAATCTAAATACTCTGCCATTCAAGTGACAGACATCTCACAGCTACCTAATCAGTTTTATCTTATAAAGATCATTGTAATTGTTAAATATATTAAATGAATACATATTGAATAACCTCTTCATTCACAGTTTTTTTGTTTTCAAGATTTACACACATTTAAAGTAATCAGAGAAGAAAAACAGGGTATTTTAAATACTAAGTATTTCATTTTTTAGTTCCTCTTATTCTTGAAATTCCAAGGTTTGCCTGGTAAATTTTTTCTTTCCATCAACCAGAACTTTCTTTACAATTTCCTTTATAGAAGGTCTAACTGTAAAGAAATTCTTCATATATTCATTTGAAAATATACTTATATTCTCTTCACTACTGAAGAATATTTTCACTGCATATAGAATGCTGGGTTATCTATTTTTTCTTTTGTTTTCTTTGTCTCTAGTGTCATGCTAAGAAATCACTACCAACTCCAGTGTGATGATGCTTTCCCTCTTGTTTTCTTCTAAAAGTTTTATACCTTCTATTTAGGTATTTCATCTCTTTGGGGTCAGCATTAATACATATGGTGTGTAAGGTAAAAATCTAATTGTGAAAGACTGAAACATTCTTCATTAATCATAAACAAGGGAAGGAAGCCTACTTTTGTTATTTCTATCAACACAGCACTGTGAAGTTCTAGCCATACCAATTACACCAGAGCAAGAAATAAAGGTGTACAAATTGGAAATCTTAAAGATTCCATAAAAAAACAAAGTTCAGCAACAAATTCAGCTAAGTTGTAAAACACAAAAATCAACACATAAAAATCATTAGGGGGGTTATTAATAATACACACAGTTTCAACTTAGCAAGATAAAAAAAGTTCTAGAGATTGATGGTGGTACACAAAATGCAACTGTACTTAATACTACTAAACTATATACCGAAAACACTTTATTATTTCACCACAATAAGAAATAATGATTTAGCAGAGAAACCTGAAAAAGAAAATAAATAAATGAAAAGGACTTCATCAAAACTAAAAATTATTGTGCATCAAAGGACATTACAAAGAAAGTGAAAAAATTATACCAGAAAGAAGTATCTGTAAATCATTTATCTATGAGGATCTATTATAATGAATATACAAAGAACTCTTAAAACACAATAGACACAACAAAAAACAGACAATGGAGAAAGTAATGAATAGACATTTTCCTCAAAAAACAAACCTAAAACCCAAAACCCAAAACCCTCCAAAACAAATGGATAATAAATACATGAAAAGATGCTCAACAATACCACATTAACAGTTACTAGAAAAATGAAACTTAAACATAATGAGATACTAATTCACTCCACTAGGAAAGCTATTATTATTATTATTATTTTTAAAAAAGGTATATTGGCATGATGTTGAAAAAAATGCAATCTTCATACTTTGCTGGTGAGAAAGTGGTTCAGGAAATGTTAAACAATTTGGCAGTTCCTTAAAATGTTAAACACAGAATTACCATATAACCCAACATAGAATTATCATGTAACTTAGCACCTGCATTCCTAAGTATATACTGAGAGAAATGATAAGTCCTCACAAAAAACTTATGTCTCTGAATTGTACACTATTGAACAGATAGAATAATGAATTTTGTTATTTTGTAAACTTTACCATAAAAGAAACAACACAGTAAGAGCATATGTCTAGAATGTAAGTAATACAAAAGTGGTAAATAAATTGTGAGCTCTATCATTACACAGAAGGAATAAATTTGAAAATAAAACCATAAACATATTTAAGCAAAAATTATAATTTAGTACACGTTTAAATACAAACATAATTCAGAAGCAAAACTACACCTATATATTTAGCTGTATCTATGTAGATATATATATAGGTAGAGACATGCATACATGCATAATTTTGCTAATTAAAATTACACATACATATAAATATACAAATAACTGAGTGAAGATTAAGAGAAAACTTTAAAATATATCGGAGGCATTATATACGCAAATCACTCTTATTACCTAGCTTATACTTCAAATTGTGGAATATCAAAATTTATATGAAATAATATGTGTCATGCTATAATTTTATGATTTTCAAAATAAATCTAATATGTTAATTTTATATATAAGGGGTACCATTCTGATGGAGGGTGACCCAGAAGTCAGATGATCCCTTTTGCTTACCCACCTCCAACCTACTTAGAGGTATTTTGCTCAAAGAATTCTAAACTCTAGGAAGGATTGCAGACTTTTTCTACACAGTATAAAGAGCTGTGTAATTGGGGATGACACAAAATAGGACTTGATAAATTTAGTGAAAGACAGAAAGCCAGATAAAAATAAGTAATTAAGTTTTATACAATCTAAAAATAGACCAAATTTTATTGATCATTTGAGAAGGATGCTAGGAAACAATATGATTATTTTATAAACATACAAAAAAGAAAAAGTGTCCTAGTTTTCTTACTGCTTTATAAATTAAGATTTCTTATCAAATATGTGTACTAGATGATGAAGGCAAGTTTCTTTTCACAAACCTAATCAGGTTAATCAATGAACAATCAATAATAAAATTAGAATATTGCCATTTTGTAATTATAATGAAATAACATACTTGGTCAATGACAACTACATGACTCTTAATATTACCAGAGGAAAGATATTCTGTATTTACTCAAGGAAGTAAAATCACTCCCCATGAAGCAGTCATGTCCAGAAGAAATTAGGAATAATACTTGATTCTGATCAAGCCTCTTTATCATGACTAAGTAAAGTACAGTCCATGAGCCAAATCCAGCCAAATGCCTATGTATCATCCAAGACTTAAAACGGTTTTACATATATTTAAATGGTAGTAGTACTTTATGACATGAGAAAATGTTCTAAACTAAAATTTCAGTGTCCATGAACAAAATTTTATTAAACCACAGCCACTGTTTATGGTTGCTTTCTTGTTACAAAAGCAGAGCTGAGTAGTTATGAAAGATCATATGATCTTCAAACCTTAAAGATACAAGAACAAACGAAAACAAAAAAAATGCAATTAGAAAAATCTGGACTGATATTTTTTACCTTCTCTTATTGAATGCATGATAAAGAAAAAACTAAGGAGTTAGACACTACTATTGTGAATGTTAAAGAATTATACATTCTAGCATATATTTAAAAAAATTTTAAAATTAGTATATTGAGATTTTTTTAGAAAACCAAAATTATCATCCACCCATAATTTACCTGAACTGTTTCCAAAATCCTCTGGGCACATAGTATTGTAGTCGGGAAGCAGCTAAATGACCAAAGATGACCTGAAGGTGTCTTAAGACACCAATATTGTACTCTTTCCTATCTTCTGTCTTACTTAATGCTGGTTTGTCTTCAAATTGATGAGGATATCCAAAAACATCATCTCGGGGATCAACATTACTCTAGATACCAAAATACATCAGTGATGAGTTAATGTAACTTAAAAATTATAATAAAATAAGTTGAGACAAATATGAATAGTGAATGAACTGCATTACTTTATATTTTGTGTATGTAAAGTATATACTTTCAAGTTATATTAGTGCTTATCCTCACAATTTCAGATGATCTTTCACAAAAAGATCACACAAGAATAATCCTGAACTGTCAACTGTAAGTTGTATAATATAAAACAGAAAGGTTTAGTTGAGTAGACAACAGGAGACGAATGCAACTTTGGGGAAATAAGTTATTAATTATAAGCAAAACTTAAGTCCTTCATATTTATGTAAAAGCCACTCTACCAGCTGCTGAATCCCAACTTTTTATTGCCTTATTCTTCATCAGGCACTTGGTTCCTGAATATCTATTACCGTTAACTAACACTGTTGATAAAACCGTAAAGCATTAAGAAAAATATTGACAGTATCCTAAGAATAAGCACAGAATATGAAAGTGAAAAAATATATAAAGGCAGAATAACTGAAATATACTTTAAAAAGTTACAGAATGAAAATACAGTTTAAAAAAACTAAAAATATTTGTATTTACAAACACCAAACTATATTTACCATGGTATATAAAACATGATTAATGGCTGCTTTAACAAATAATCAGAAAAAGTAGTGATAAAGATTACCAATTACAGTTTAAGGTCTATTGATAATGAGTATTATGACATGCCAGAGGTAGTAGCTCAGAGATTCCTGTCCTATTATCAAATGTAGTTCAGAAAAATCCCATGTATGCTTCCATATTCAAAGAGAGAAAAATAGTATCTGGTATCAAGATATTAGAACAAATGAAAACCAGAATTTATAATTACAATTTACCTCACTGTCCTGCTTCTCTTCACCAAACATATCATCATCTATATCACTACCTGTGCCTTCAATTGCAAGAATACTGTTCCTTATAGAAGGAATCATGTATAGTTGCTGGATCACCGAATTCATGTAACAAGTAGCACCAGCATTTTTGAGTCCCACAAAACCTTTTGGTGGGCGAGGTCCAACAGGAGGTAGATATTCCCACTCAGTAAGTGCTTCACAAGCTGAGGAAAAAAAAAAAAGATTCTCATAACATGAACATCATCCTGTCCACTGGTAACTGTTATGCTAACAAATATTAATAACCTTACATTCACCACTATAGCCACTATACTACAGAACTTATCAGTCCATATTTTTATTAATGTTGCTTCTATCTAAAGGTTCTTAGAAAGTTATATAGCTGGTACAATAATAAGTTTCTTTGTGTAAACCACCGGTTTGCTTTATTTCAGTGCCTTCAATTACTTCAGTTTGCAACTTTAAATAAAATACTACATAACAGTTTAACTATATACTTTATATATTTAATTATATGTTAAATTTATTTAAGATGACTTATATTTAAGACATGGTTCCAAAACTGTAACCTTCAATGGACAGGAGCAAAAACTTCTTGCTAATACCCATAGTTTTGGGTAGTAAATTACACAGTGAATGTGAAAGGTCTTTGATAACACATACCTTCCATTTACCATAAAACCAAACAACTTAAATATAAACCGCTACTTTAGACTGCAAGCTACAGTCAATAATCACAATTAGACAGACCTTTCTGTGTCGACAGATGTATTACAAAGTACAAAACAAAGGGAAGAACACTGCAGCACAATGGAAAATATTGCTCACTTTACAGGTGAGCACTCTGCATTAATACAAAATGCATTCTCTGGTGAAAGGTCCAGTGGGGCTCACTGAAAAGGAAGCCTTGCAATATTGAAGAATCAAGAATCTGGTTTGTTTTGTTTTTTGGAAGGTTGTAGCTTTTGGCTAGCTTTACCCATTTTGCCGATCATCCACTCCTCACCTCTGGCAATCACCAATTTGATTTCTGTATATACACTTTTGGGTTTTTTTGTTGCTATAGATTTCCCATATAAGTGAGAGCATACGATATTTATCTTACTCCAACTTATTTCACCCAAAGCAAAGCCCTCAAGTACTATCCCTGTTATTGCAATCATGGGATTTCCTTTTTTTATAGCTGAATAACATTCCATTGTATATACAGCATGTCCTCAAATAATGTCGGTTATACCTTTGATGAGATGCTATGTGAACTTGACTCTGGTTTATATCACTTAAACTTTGGTAAATTTGGTTTTGTTAAACATTGTTTCACAATAGGTCACAGAACCTATTGAAAGTGTAAATTAACAACTTCCTGTATACAGTCGTGCGTTGCTAAAGAACGTATCTGAGAAATGCAGTATTAGGTGATTTTGTCATTCTAGGAACATTACTGTGTGGTACTTAAACAAATGTAGGTGATATACCTACACTATGCACATAAGCTGTATGGTACAACCTCTTGTTTTTAGTCTATGGACCAGTTCAGCATGTATTCTTATACTAAATACTATAGGCAACTGTAACACAAAGGTATGTTTTGTGTATCTAAATAAAAATAATGCAGTGAAAATATGGCATAAAAGATTAAAAATGATACACTTACAGAGGACATTACCATGAATGGAGACTACAGGACAGGAAAGTGCTCTGGGTGAGTGAGTGGTGATGTGAATATGAAGGCCTAGAACATATTGTACCCATGTACACTTTATAAACACTACATTTAGGCCATAGAAATTTTATTAAAACTAGTTTTTTCTTCAATTAACCTTAACTTATGTAATTTTTTACTTTATAAACTTAAAACTTTTTAAATGTGTTGGACTACTTTAACAATTAGCTTAAAACACAAACACATTGCTAGCTGTATGACATTTCTACTAATAAGTTTTACTAATTAGTTTTATTAGTATTTTTTAATACTAATAAAATTAAAAACTTATTAATACTAATAAGTTTTATTAGTATTTTTTCACTTTTTAAACTTTTTGTTAAACTGTAACAAACAGAGACATTTGCCTGGGCTTACACAGGGTCAGGAACATCAACATCACTGCCCCCCACCTCCACAACCTGTCCCACTAACTACAAGGTCTTCAGGGGCAGTAACAAGTTTGGAACTGTCGTCCCCTCCTGTGATAACAATGCCTTCTTCTGGAACACCTCCCAGAGGACCTGCCTGAGGCTCTTCTTCTGGAGCTACCACTCTTTTCAGAGACATTTCCATGGTAGTTTGCTTGGTTTTCTTTCTTTCTTTTCTTTTCTTTTTTTAACAGAGGTTTGCTTGTAAGCAGATAATGTACCATAACATTCCCTGTGGTACTGAAAGCCTTTGCTGTTGCAGTCCACGTTTTCAGACTTCTTAAGGAGCTTGCTGAGGTCTGCCAATGCTTCTGCCAAATGCTTCACTGTGAATTTTCTTGGGTGTTCTTTTCCTTCTCCTGCAGTTTCCTTTCCTTTTCGCTCATCTCTTCAACTGTGTGTTCCTGTCATTAGTCAGTTTTTCGGGAACCACCTCTAGAAGCTCCTCAATGTCATTCTCATCCACGCACAGTGACTAAACTAGTCTGCCATCTCAGCTACTGCTTTGTGCTTTTCGCAGCCTCCTCATCCTTGGGAAATCCTCTGACATCGTGGGTGAACCTCTTGAATGTCTTCTTCCAGATGTCACTCGTACACTCCTCGGTGACATCACCCCAAGCCCAAACAAGGTCCTGATGCAATCACAATGTAATGCCTCCAAACGGCACCAGTGTTTTCTCAGTGTCTTCCTCGGTTGCAGCAATAGTCTGGACCAAGGTCCTGCTCAGGAAGTAGGCCTCAAAGCTGCTAGAACTTCCTGACCTGCTGGTTTGATCAAAGAGATACTGTTTGTGGGGAGAAGTACCACTTTGATATTGTGAAGAAGATCGCCAATGAAAGGATATCCGGGAGCATTATCATCCATAAGCAAAATCTTGAAAGGTATGCTATTCTCCAAACAGTACTTCTCCATTTCGTTGACACAGCAATTCAGAAGGGCATCTTGGAAGAGTCACCATGACTCTTATTGCTCCTGCAGTACCCTGGCAGTGTCTGCTTACTGCTATGCTTAATGACCCGAGGGTTCTCACTGTGCCAGCTTGCAGTGGATTCAGTTTGTAGCCTGTGGCACTGCCCCCAAGTGAGATCGTTATCCTATCCCTAAAAGCCCTGAAACTCGCATTGACTTGGCCTGCTTATGGATTAGAGTTTCTTCAGGCATCCATTTCTAGAATAGGGAGATTTAATTCATATTAAATATTTATTTGTGTCATTTGCCTCCACAATCCGCATTATCTAGAATTTCCAAAAGTTCTGCTACTGCATTCACATCAGCATTCAAAGACTCATCACCCAATGTCACGCTATAGTAAATTCAACGCTGTAGTTGGGTCCTCCGTTTTCTTTCAACATCTCAAACTGCCTTTGCGCTTTGGCTGTGATTGTCATGGTGCTGAGAAGGCCACATTCTGTGTCTGGTCTTCAATCCAGATCATTAGCAGTTTCTTTATCTCTGATCTAGTCCCTTCTCAAGTGTTGGTCTTGGTGTCTTCAATAAGCAGATTCTTTGACAACTTCTGTCACTTTGTTCTTCAAGATCATAGCTATGTTGGAAAGGGAAGTGCCTGACTGGTGAGCATTAACCCACACTAATTTTTCCCTTCATTGTTTTTCATCACTTTTAATTTTGTTTCAAGTTAGTCACTTATGTGGCCTCGTACTAGGGAACATTAGCAGCGTATTTTGAAAGCTGGATACCAAAGGATACAGAGTAGACCTTGTTCCCAAGGAAGATACTTCTTTAAATTTTTTTCAAATAAATTTTTATTTATAAAGTACAGTTTTAGAAGGCAACAGACAGTAACATGCAACTTATCTTTATATAAGCATATTTTAAGAGACTCGCCTTCTCATTGTTGGTCATCATACTTTTCTAATTGATGACAAGATATTTTACAGCTCCCCAAAATGTTTTTGCTTTAAATAATAGCCCTGGGAGCCTGGATAAACCATATGATTCCTTTACATTTCATCGATTTTCTTGAACATCTAAATAATCTTCATGAATTGAAACCATATGATTCCTTTACATTTCTTGAAACCATATGATTCCTTTACATTTCATCAATTTTCTTGAACATCTAAATAATCTGTTTTAAATTATATTAAGGAAACTGTATTTTTAAGTTCATCATATTTTGTTTGTAGTTGTTTCAGTAAATGTAACAAAACAATATCTAACAATGTCATTGGTTTTCTTTCATTTTAGACACCAAATAGAAACACAATAAGAAGTATCTGAGTTTGTGAGTTTGTGGCTTTATTTCTTGATTTCTTCCTTTTACTATGAGTCTTTTATTTTTTTTTTTTTCCTTATTTTTTCTTTTTCTCAAGAGAGGGCTTGGCCCTAAAGGGCTTATATTTTTAGAAGTTATTGAGTCAGCTGATTTCTCTGAAATTTCTGAAGATGCTATATCTAATTTGTGTAAACTTTTTGTGTAAAATATTGTGTCATTTTCTCGGCTGGTTTATCTCTTCTTCCTAGATCAGTGATGTCAGATTCATCTAATGGGCCTGAGTTTTCTTCCTTTTGTGCAGTAACTCTTACAGATTTGTTTATAGTTGCTTTATTTTCAGAAGTATTCAAACTTCTTTTTGTTTCCTTTTCTTGAAGAGTTGAAGGGATAGATGAGCCGCAGTGTTTCCTGCATATTGGAGCATATATGTAAAGGAGAATCTGCTCAGGAAAGAGTAGTAATTGGAGAGATCTCAGTACACTCGGTTAAACTTATGGCAAGGGTATATAACTTATGGGGAAGGAAGACAGGTGTCTAATAGAGTTCAATTGCTGCAATGGGGCCAAAGCTTTCATAAAGTTCTTCATCTTTCTAATTTTTACCAGTTTTCCATTGTCTGAGATATCAGAATATCAGAAAAATATATCATTAGCATGTACTTTTACCAGCTTTATGTTTCAAGGGATATATTCTTGGACACACAATGCAATATACATATGATGTATTACTGAATTAATTGTACACTTGAAACCTATATGATTTTATTAACCAGTGTCACCCCAAAAATAACAAAGGAATATGTTCTTCCTAAAGTGAATGTTTCATACTTGCTACAGGGGCCACCCATGTCTATCTATTTAAACTATCCTAGGATTCCATGCAGAACTCATGCAAAGTGCTTGTCTTTGTTTCACAGAAGTAGGATCTCACAGGGCAGAAAAGTGAACAAGCAGTCCCCAAAAAACTAGAAGTTAAATGAACAAGCACTGACACCAAAAGATTGCCATTAGAGCAAATAATAGATCTGCTGAAAACCAAGAAAGGAAACATAGGAGAGAGTTACTTTCAGGAATAAGGTCTTGAAAATCTCCTGTATGTAAAATAGAATCTCGAAGCAATGTATATTTGCTGATGATACAATAAATGCTCACAAAGGCTCTGAGAAGATTCTAAACTTTTTCTTCTGGTTTAACCTTTAAACTCAGAACAAACAGGAAAATAAGTTTTTACAGAGTCAATCTATATCACTGAGACAGTATTTTCTTTCTCTTTGTTCACTGTTTTGGATTCCAGGTGTTGAAGGAAATGTATGTCCAATCATTAGGTAAGCACAAAATAAATATTAAGTAACCACATAAAACAAAAAAATATATCATCCTAGAATAGTCTTAAAAAGTCACTAAGTAAACAAACAATTACATCCCATGGCAAATAACAAACTCTAGTCAGATTGTAGAATCTGAATTCCAGAGTTATATAATGTTGAAAGTGTCCACAACAATAAAGAGAATTAAAAGCAAAATAAGAAACAAAAGTATGGAGTTGAGGGGGAGGGAAGAAAGGGAAAGAAGTTAATTGATGTTGTCCCTGGGGGAAGAAAGACATTGGACTCACTAGACAACTACTCTAAATCAACTGTGTTAAATGTGCTCAAAGAGTTAGAGAAAACCATGGACTAAGGACTAAAGGAATTCAGGAAAATAAAGATCTGTTAAGTAGAAAATATTAGTAAAGAGAGAGAAATAAAGAGGAAAAAATAAAAATTTTAGAGCTGAAAAAGTATGTTAACAAAATCAAAAGACCGACACTATCCAATTTCAAGGCTTACTTAAAGCTATAAAAATCGGGACTATAAATAATTGACAAGTAGATTGATAGAATAGAATAGTCTAGAAGTAGATCCATATATATAGTCACCTGATCTTTGACAAAGAAACAAAAGCAATAAAATGATACTGAAACAACTGAATACCCACATGCAAGAAAAAAACCTAGGAGAATAAAGACCTATTAAGTAGAAAATATTGGACTTTTCGCTTGCTCAAAAATTAACTAAGATTTGATGACAGACCTAAAATAAAACACAAAACTAAAACTTCTTGAAAAAGTAAGAAAACACTAGACGATTTGGGGTATGCTGACGTCTTTTACATATACCAAATTCATTAAAGAACTGGTAAGTTGAACTTCATTAAAATATTTCTGCCCTGCTAAGGACGCTATCCAAAAAATAAATAAAAAGAGAAGTTACAATCTGAAAAAATATATATGCAGAAAACGTATTTGAAATAAAGCTGTTATCCAAAATACACAAAGAATTTTTAAGAACATGAACATCCTGGTCCAAAAATATGGAAAGGCTTTCTTAAAGGACACCTCACTAAAGATATACATATGGTAAAATAAGCTTATGCAAAGATACTCCATATCATATATGTGAATAGAAATTGCCAAGACATAATAATTTATGTCAAGAGAACTAAAATGGAGCTGGGAGGTGACAGGAAGTCTGCCTTATGCAAGTACTACCAATGAACTTTTGCAGACAGTCTCCTGGACTTTGCTGCTTCTTTACCATGGAAACCAGAACATTCTGCCCGTTGAGAGGACCCAATCTGTTTCACTGACCAGCGTTTTTCAGTTACTCAGTGGACCTAACCAAGCTCTATTAACACAGCCAGCATATTTCGCATACATGGAGGATCTAAATGGAAGTAAATTTATAATTTTGTATTTATAAACCCTATCCTTTTTTGTTCTCTATGGAGCATAAATGGTTTGCTACCTGATTCTGTATCTTCTAGATTGCAATTCTATACTCAAATAAATGTTTTGTTTTGTTTTTTTCTTTATTACAGCTTAAATCTTTTCTTGGTTAACATTACATGGTATTATAAGTAAGAGCCAGAGTGAAAGTCCTTTGATTCTGGTGCCACCATGGATTTGTGCAAAACACCTGCAGAAAACATTGGCTCTACCATCTCTGTAGTCCTGGCTTTTGGCCATAAGTCCTCCTGGACCTGAATCTCCTTCCTTGGTCAAGGTAGTAGCCTGTATTTGAGCACTTTTTCTTTTCTTTTTGTTTCTGTCTGCTGGGTTATGGGTTTAGGTCTTTGCTAATCAGACTGAAAGATTAGAGTTTCAGATTTTAGTAAGGTGAGTACTCAACAATGGGGAACAATTCTTCTAAAAGGTCTTTAAAATAGCTATCCTTATTGTTACTCCTGCAGTGTTTATGTTTAACATGGCTCTTCTTATAACTTTTTCTCTCACTGGACTCATTACTTACTCTGATTTTTGCCTCTGAATTGATGTATTTGCATGCTTAACCTAAGGTCTATCTTTGTGGTAAATATCAGTTGTTGCATTTTGAAATTATTACTGGGAGACCTATGAGGCTAGATCAAAGAATGTAGGAAACTGTTTTACATAAATAAGACCTTATGACTTTTTGTAATGAATTATAAAGGCCTTCAAAAATAATTCAAAGGTTGCAGAATGATCTTTCCATAGCACACTCCCGGGAGACAAAGATCTCAAACTTCATGGCTTGCAACCAGGAGATATGGTCTATTGGAAAAGACATCTCCACAAAGATTCCCTCCAGCCTGGTATAGAACAAACCATACCAGGTATTATTGACTAATCCCTGCACCACAAAGTTAAAGGGTATTTACTCACTGATTTATGTTTCTCATTTAAAAATGACAATCTTATCTAGACCTGATTCATCTGACTGGACATCACAGGTTCTTAAAGACCTCAAATTAAAAGTTCCATATCAACCCTGAATCACATCCTGTTTTTCCCAAGATGTGAGGTCTGGCCTATAAAGCTGATTCCTGCTATGCATAATTCTTATGTTTACTTGAGAGTTGTAATTATATCTCTGGGTATACTAATGATCTTAATCTTTCTGTGACAAGCCAGTCACCTTCCCTGTGTTTTACACTGTATACTCTGATTATACCATATCATTAACCTCTCTGACTACAAAGTACTTCAGACCCTCACTATTCTCACCCTTACAAATGGGAAGTTTTGGCATAGAAATGTTATGATACAATAGTCCTTTGGAAACTTGTCTAAGTGCTGCCTACCTCTACCTTCTGTAGGGCTTATGATTCCAGTTATTCTCATTAGCAATTTCTCAGACATCCATAATTTTACTGTTGATTTTACAAATACTCCTCCTCCTGAGACATACCGGGTTAACCTATTAAACCTATTATGTCTTTCCCTTGTGTCTTTTTAGACACACCCTACATGGATGTCACCACATATGGTTACGCTTTCTCCCTTGCTATTAACTACATTGTTTTCTAACACCTCTTCTATCACATGACTTTCTATGTAATAAGTTTCCTGATAATCAAGTCTACTGCACCTATCACAACACTGACCACCACAGAAACTCTCTCTGTAAGGTCATAATAGCAGAAAACAGCCCACATTGCCACAACTCCAACGTTTCAGCCTTCAAAATACAACCATATCAGGAAGGACTCCTAGAAGGGTGCTCAAACATACTGAGTATTGTTCTGGAAAAATTCACATTTCTTTTCCTATTCATGAGTCCATAAATAACCAGATATTTGCAGGTAACCTCTGCAACCCTACAGGCTATAATTTTGTCTGTGTATTTAAAAATCAGCCTTGGGCATTCAATTGACTATACAGCGGGAGACTAAGTGGACAACGCTTTTTAGGCCATCTGACATCATCTATCACAAGTCTCAAGATGTTATAGCCATTATTCCCAACTCTTAATCTGAGAAAAAAGAGGGCCCTATTGATGATAGTGAATCAGATCTTGACAAGAATCCTTATAAATATGAGGATAACCTGCAGGATATTCTGGTGACCAAGATAAATTCCTTAGAATATTTCTTGGTAATATTCTCTTTTTGGCAGCATTCCCATAACAGACTTAGAAACTATGATGAGAAATCTTAGCAAAACTGTTAACAGGATAGCCCACTCTGCCGCTAAAGCCAATAGAGCTCAACAAAGATCTAAGATCCCCTAGCTCAGATAGCCTTTGAAAACAAAATTACCTTAGATTATTTGCTTGCAGTCCAGAGAGGAGTTTGCCATAGTACCTGGATAAACACCACTTCCCAAATTGATCTGGAAACCTGGAAGCTTTTAAGATAGCCAAATCCCTTAAAGGTCATTCAAATTTTACTACTATAGATACATTTTAAAAAACTATACAAATCTAAAGCCTAAAAGAACCTTGAGAGCAGAAAAAAAGCATTGCCTCGTTTATAAAAATCCTGTTAGATCAATAGCCATTTTTATGCAGAAATACTTTAGCCTAGATAGCAGTGGAATGACATATTTAAACTATTAAAAGAAAAAATAAACTCAATGAAAAATTCTATTATAAATAACTATCATTGAAAAATGAGGGAAAACATTCCCAAATAAACAAAAACTGAGGGTTCAAAGCTACTAGATCTGTCCAGCAAGAAATGCTAAAAGAAGTCCTTCAGACTCTAATAAAAAAATTACCGCCAATTACCTTGAAGCCATACAAATAAATAAAGAACACTGGCAAAGGTATTTCATTCATACCAGTAGTACTATGATTCCTTATTTTAATATGATTTAAAAACAAGTACATAAATTATCAGATAACTACATTAATGGTCACAACTGTATAAAGATGTAATTTGTGACAGTAATAACATCAAGGCAGGGTAAAAATGGAGCTATTTTATTAAAAAATTTTGTATACTAATAAACCTAATTTGATGTTAAATAAAACTAGAGTGTTATAAATTTAATTGTAATCCTCACAGGGTTTATCACAAAAATCACCACATATGGCATCGAGAAATATATATAAATGAGAGGAAGTAAATTAGAACACTACAAAAACTTAACATAGAGAAAGCAGTAAGTAAAAACTGAGTAACCAAAATGGCATAACATATAGAAAATAAATAGAATTACAGAGGTAAATCCTTTTTTAATGGAAAATAATTTAGTTGTGGATGAATTAAACATTTTAATTAAAAGGCAGAATGAGCAGAATGCATATACATAATCCAACTATGTGCTGCCTAAAAGAGACTCACTTTAAATCCAAACACACAAAAAGGTTGAGAAGTCAAATTATAATGACAAAATTCCCATATCAATAGTAAACACAGGAGAATTGAATTGATGCTAATATCAGACAAATTAAACTATAAAAGGATATTACATCTTATTTAGTCAATAAATCAATAAATTACAATTATTTGCACATTAACAGATTCCAGATGAAACAAAAATGTTTCATTCCAGATGAAACAAAAATGGACATAACTGAAGGCAACGGACAGTTCCACTGATTACTGTCAGTTCTACTAATTTCTAGTGATTAGTGTGGAACTGTCCATTACCTTCAGTTATGTCCAGTGATTAATGTGGAACTGTGGAACTTTGGAACTGTCCACAGTAATCACTGGACATAACTGAAGACAACGGACAGTTCCACACTAATCACTAGAAAAACAGTAAAAAAGTAGAGGACTTGAACAAAAGTACAAACTACCTAAACTGAATAGCTATGTATAGAACAATTCACCCAAAAAGCATTCTCAAAAGCACAGAGAAGATCCTCCAAGATAGACTATATGCTAGACCACAATGAAACCATCAAAAAATTTAAAAACACTGAAATCATTTTTTAAAATCTTCAAGAACTATGAGACAGAGAAACTAAAATACTTTTATTCTATTGTTGTCAAAAGAACAAATTGTTTAATTCCTATTCTCTTAAACTTATTGAGAACTTCTGCTCGTTTTAACTGGCTATGGTTTAAGGTCTTTCATTACAAATGTCTGAAAGAAGGCATGTTCTATTGTTGGATAGTGTGTTCAAGATGTTAGATGTAGTTGCTTAAAGTATTGTTGAAATATTCTATTTCCTTTTTCTATTCACAACTGAAAGTGAGATATTTAAGTTTCTAACTGCTATTGTAGAACAATTTCTCCCCTTATTACTGTTGGTTTTTCTTCATGTGTTTTTCTGTTCTGTCATCAGATGCATATATTTATAATTATTATAAATATGCAGTGAAGACAGTGAACAGAGGAAAATTTATAGGTGAAAAAACAAACCTCAAACCAATAACCTAAACTTAGACCTTAATAAATTTAAAAAACTAAACCCAAAGCTGGCAGAACAAAGAAAACAGCAGACTAGAACAGAAACATGTGAAACAAATACACCAAAAGCAATAGAGAAAACTAGTGAAATAGAAATTTGGTGCTTTGGAAGATCAACAACATTGATAAAACTTGAGGTAGACTAACTGAAAAAAAAAAAAAAAAGAAATAAAAAGGGGACATCATACAAACCTGTATCACTTTTTCAAAAATGTCTCAAGGAAACACTTCATAATTCAAACCAAAATGCCACTGGTACCACAACACCAAAGTCAAAGATATCACAAGTAAACAAGAAGTCAATATTCCTCATGAATACAGATGCAAAATCCTCAATAAACCTCACCTAGCAGAACTTTAAAAGAATTATATAATATGATTAACTGATATTTATCTAAGGAATGCAAGAATGAATCAAGACATGAAAATCAATCAATATAACTTCCTGGCATGAATTATGTTCCTCCCAAAGTTTATGTTGAAGTCGTAAACCCAAGTATTATAGAATATGACTTTTTGGAGGCAGAGTCTTTAAAGAAGTAATTAAAGCAATATACCATTAGGTGGGCCCAATTCCAACTTGACTGGTGTCCTTATAAAAGGAAATTTGAGTCACAAAAGATATTGGAGATGCACAAGCACAGAGGAAAGATCTGTGAACAAAGCATCATGCAGCCATATGCAAGCCAAGGGAAGAGAGAGGCCTCAGGAGAGACTAACACCTTGATTTGGGATTTCCAGCCTCCAGAATAGCGAAATATTTGGTCATAAAGAAGAATGAAGCAGTCATACATACTATAAAATGAATAAAAAAATGAAACATACCAAGTGAAGAGAGCACTCACAAAATATCACGAATGTAATTCTATTCAGATGAAATGTCCAGAACAGGAAAATCTCTGGATGCATAGAGTAGATAAGCAGTGGTTAGGGCTGGGCAGTGCTGTAGGATATAGAGAGAGGTGAATGTAGGTAATAGCTAAAGAACTAAAGGGTACAAGGTATTTTTGTTTTTCAGGTGATGAAATATTCTGAAATTGTTTTTTGTCCCACAAACTATGACTATATTAAAAACACCAATAGACTGTATACTTTCAATTAGTACATTATATTGTCTCTTAATTATATTTCAATGAAGCTAATTGTTGAAAACCCTTATATATTAAAGGAAAAATAGACAAATATTTGTAGTTCTAACTGGAGATTTCAATATTTCCCTCTCAATAACTGACAAACAAGTAGGCAAGGTATCTGTAACACTTTAGATGACTAGAGCAGCAATCTCAATCAATTTGACCTAATTGACAGTTAAAGCCATCACTATATACATCCTTTTTAAATGCATATAGAACATTCACCAAAATATACCACATTCTGGGCTATTTATTTAAGTCTTAACAAAGTTTAAAAATATTTACTTTGTTAGACTATAAAGAAATTAAATTAGGAACAAGTAACAAAAAGATATATAGAAAAATCTCAAATATTTATGAGTTAACATTTCTTTGAATTTCAAAACATTTATTCATCAAAGTTAAATCTCTTTCCATTGCCATAAGGATGTTCAAAAATAAATATCAGCTTAACAATTTTCACAAATTGAACAGATTTGTATAACTTGCACCCAGCAGTCAAATACAATATTATTTTATGTGGTACTTTAAATGAAATGGAAAATTAATTTTACTTGATCTTAAATAGTAACTAAAGTGACACTGAACTACTGAACTTCATAAGATTCCTACAAGATTTCTCTAAGTTGAGAAAAAAAATTCAAAATTATTAAAATGTTAGTGTATTTATTCTAATTTATTTAAATTTATTGGGTGACAAGGGTTAATAATTACATATTCTGATTATACAATGCAATAATATTATATGCATATTGCATTGTGTTCACCATCAAAGTCAAATCTCCTTCCATTGCCATATATTTGATCCCCTTTACCCTTGTCTATCAACTCCTTGTCCTGCTTTCCTTATGGTAACCACTAAACTTTTTGGTGTTCATGAGTCTTGATGGCCCATCCTTTCCACTGCAGGAGTTACGAACATTGGGGCAGCTTGCCGCAGATCTAAAAGAGAATCAGAAGTTAACATGACATCATCAATATAATGGTACAATTGTATGGTGGCGGGTTTAGTCCAACCAACCAAGTCCTCAGCCACAAAACGATGGCAGAGGGTGGGGCTTTGGAGATACCGGATGGGCAAGATAGTGAAGTTCCATTTTTGTCCCTCCCATGTGAAGGCAAATTCATCTTTAGTTTCTAGATGAATGTCTGAGGAG